AGGCTGAGGCGGGTGGATCCCTGAAGTCAGGAGTTTGAGACCAGCTGGCCAACATGGCGAAATCCTGTCTCTATTAAAAATACAAAAATTAGCCAGGACTGGTGGTGGGTGCCTGTAATCCCAACTACTCAAGAGGCTGACACACGAGAATCACTTGAATCCCGGAGATGGAGGTTGCAGCGAGCTGAGATCATGTCACTGTATTCTAGCCTGGGTGACAGAGTGAGACTCCATCTCAAAAAAAAAAAAAAAAAAAAAAAAAATAGAAAGACAGTGTGGCTATTCCTCAAGGACCTAGAAATGGAAATTCCATTTGACCCAGCAATCTCATTACTGGGTATATATCCAAAGGATTATAAATCGTTCTATTATAAAAATACATGCACACGTATGTTCCTTGCAGCACTGTTTACAATGGCAAAGACCTGGAACCAACCCAAATGTCCATCAGTGATAGACTGGACAAGGAAATGTGGCACATATACACCATGGAATATTATGCAGCCATAAGAAACAATGAGTTCATGTCCTTTGTAGGGATGTGGATGAATCTAGAAACCATCATTCTCAGCAAACTGACACAAGAACAGAAAATCAAACACCACATGTTCTCACTCATAGGCAGGTGTTGAACAATGAGAACACATGGACACAGGGAGGGGAGCCTCATATACTGGGGTCTGTTGTGGGGGAATAGGGGAGGGACAGCGGTGAGTAGGGAGGTTGGGGAGGGATAACATGGCAAGAAATGCCAGATATAGGTGATGGGAGGATGGAGGCAGTAAACCACATTGCTGTGTATATACCTATGCAACAATCCTGCATGTTCTGCACATGTACCCCAGAACCTAAAGTACAATAAAATATATTTTTTAAAAAAATAGAAAAAGAAATGGAGTTGATTTTGAAGAGAAATCATTTTGAATAATTAACCATGAATTACTCTAATTAGTAGAACATAATTATAGGTTGGACATAAGTTCTTTCTAATGCAGAGGATAGAGTAAAAGAATATTGGAAAAATAATGCCACCTCATAGATGTTGTGATGAATCCCAAAGAGGGCTTTTCTTTGAATTAATCTTCAACTAAGGCATTTTAAATGTCTTCCATTAGAAAATGTTCATATTTTTACAAGACAAAAATTATTACCTAGCATATGTTGTTAGTTAGAGAATCTTTATTGTAATAATTATTAAAGAAGACATCTTTAATGCTTCCTAAAAGAGAAAATATCATTTCCCTTATTCCTTTTATAACACTTTCTGGATCAGCAGAACAGCCTTAGATAGATTTAGCATATTTGTACATCATAGGAATGCTTAAAACACTGTATGGAAGTAGAGTTTAACATATTCATGTCACTTGGAAAATCTGTATCAAGTGATTAACATGACAGTTGCACTTGTGGCTTCTGTTTCCTGTAGGGGAAAAATATATGGCACGCTGATGAGAATAGGTAACAGATTCTTTGCAATTAGTCTCTATTCTATAAAGACCATCATCAGGACCCAAATGAGAACCCACAAAAAGGTAGTCTACGTGAAGTATATTTAAAGCATTAAAGAGAGCCCAGATATGGGACTCAGGAGACATGTGCTCAGATATGGCACCACAGAAAACCAGGTAGTCTCTGACTAACTCTGGAACTTGAACAAGTCTCATTGCACCTCTTTAGCTATTTCTTTATTAGTAGTACGATACATCTCACAGGATTGTAACATGGTAAAAAGGAATTGTGAAATTAACTTTTGAAATTAAAACCAACAGCAACAACAAAAAAGGTAAAGCATTGTTTGGACAAAATGTCATTTTTTGGAAGATGTGGTTTGGTGAGGAAATGTGGAGATGTAGATCAAAGGATAAAAAATTGTAGTTATGTAGGATGAACAAGTCTAAATCTAAGTGCAACATAAGGACTATAGTTAATATTGTATTGTATTTGGGATTTTTTACTAAGAAAGTAGAATTTAGATGGTCTTACCACATATACAAAAGGGTAACTGTGTGAGTTGATGGATATGTTAATTTGCTTGACTGTAGTAATCACTTCACAATGTATATCAGAGCATTATATTGTATATCTTAAATATATACAATAAAAATGTAGCTTTAATATATTTGATTTTTACTAATAAAAACATTGACAATTTAGAAATGAGGAGTATCTGGCATATGGCTGAATAAAGCATAACTTATTTTCATGTTGCCATCATATATAAAAATAAAATAAATTCAAAGATGCCTACTTTTATGATTGCTAAGAGCTAATTATGCAAGAGAATATTTTTGCAAAGAAATATATAGTGACATTCTGATCATTGGTCACAAATAGTCCCTTGCTATGTTTCATTGTGATTTTCTAGGTTAGGTTTCAATTTTGAGAACAACATTCTTGCTTCTTAAATCCTTGCTTTTTTCTACATACTCTTCTGCCACCATCAAGAAAGCTGTTTTTCCTGATTGTTCAAAATAATAGATGGAGTCAAAGCCTATGTATGGAATAAACAAATGGTCTCACTTGCTCAAAAAATAACAGCACTCCTTGATCCTTTCATTATACCATCCTGTCTCCTCTTCTTTTCTTTTCTCCTTACCTGAAATATTGAATGAAACATTATCTCCAGTGAATTGCAATTAAAATAAATGTTGGTTGCCTGGGAGAGGAGAGAAAGGCCCAAGAATCTCCTTTAATCTTCTCTTACAGGCTATTGGCAAGGATTCTTTTATCTGATTAGCTAAAACAGTTAGCTTTCAGTATGGGCAAGTTGGACTAGGATTTCAGGAGAAGCTGTTTAGTGGTTATAATCAGTGATTTTTAAGGTTCCTTTCAACACTGAAATATTTCATTACAAGTAGACCCGTGTAGCCCAGGGGTGCCCTGAGAGATAAAGGAAGGGAAACTACTAAATGAAGTGAAGGACTAAGATCATAGGGGAAAATTATGCACTTCACCATTTTACCTGGAACTAGAGAGCAAAGGCGTGGATGAGAAAAAAATGAGGCATGATGCAATATCAAACAAGCCACAAGCATCCTAACTTCCTAACTCTTAAATAGATTCTTACTGAGAGAGAAAGTAGATTTCACCAAAGAAAAGACAAGGTTCTTTGGGAAAGAGGATAAAGAAAGAGACCTCTGTATTTGTTCCTTCAATAATAGGAGGAACTCATCATATAATAAGGATATAAATGCCTCATTCCCAGTGACTACTTAGGTTTTCCATGATCTTAAAATCTTGAAAGCTCAGGCAGCAAAGGAAATGAGTTCAGGCCTCTTTGTGACAGAGTGGACTCATGGTTAGAGAATGAGCAGAGACTGTAACATTTTCCCCTACCCCTGTTCTCTGGTCTTATTCTTTGATTTTCAAGAACCTCCTCACAAAACATCCCCTCATTCTGGCCTCTTGGGGCAGGTTCTTGTGAAGACTCAGACTCAGGAGAGCATATCTTATAATTGCCTTGACTGAGGGCCTCTTGACCTCGGACACGTGAAGAAGGGTCCGGATGCATATATTGGCCATGTCTGATTTTACAGAAGTAATCCTCACAGACATGGTTTGGTGGAACTTGTAGTCATCTGTAAGGACACTGTAGAAATACTCATCATTTACTTCAAGTCTATAAAGTTTTGTGGATTGAATAGGAATGACTTATCAAGTGGCAACTTCTAGAGGAGGATGAAAGTTGGCCACTTCCTGCTCCTGGTCACTCTAACCTCCAGCTCCTTCTGGAATCCTGGCAGGCTCTACCCCTGAGGCCACAAAGAGGGACTCTCAGGGTCACACCTGTAGTCTGTGGAGGACTAGCATCCTCTTTTGATGGAATTCAAATGCAACACTTAATACTCTTAGAAGAGAGAAAATGAACGATAAAAATTCTAACAACCTGGCTTGAATGTTTCTATTACAAAATTAGAGAAAAATCGAATTTGAGGGGACATGTAAAACATCACAAAAATGAATCAGTGGTTACTGAGGAGTCTGAACTCCAGGTCATCCTAATGCATATATGTTCCCAGGTCTGCTGTGATGGTTAAAATAGGTGAATATTAATAGTTTTCAGTCCCATAATAAAATAGGCCTAAGACCTTCAGTGCAGTTTATCCTCTTAAATTGGGTTACCACATACATGGAATGTATAAAAGAACTAGATCAAGTGTTTTATCACACATTCTTAATGAATGGAATCTGAATCAGGATACATAGGATTTGTTTAGTTATTTGTCTGTATATACTCATGTGCCACATAATGATGTTTCAGTAAACAATTAACAGCATATATGTTGGTGGCCCCATAAGATTATAATGGAGCTGAAAAATTCCTATTGCCTAGTGATATTGAAGCCGTCATAAAGTGGTAGTGCAACATGTGCTCATGTACCTGTGCTGATGCTGGTATAAACGAATCTGTGCTGCCAGGCATATAAAAGTACAGTATAGCACATAAAATTATGTAAATAATATTTGATAATATTAATAAATGACTATGTTACTGGTTTATATATTTCCTATACATGCTTTTATTGCTATAGTGCATTCCTTCTACTTATTAAAAAATGTTAACCATAAAATAGCCCCAGGCAGATCCTTCAGGAGATATTCCAGAGGCAGCATTGTCATGGGAGATGACAGCTCCATCTGTGTTACTGCCCCGGAAGAACTTCCGGTGGGGTAAGATCTAGAAGTGGAAGACAGTGATATTGATGATTCTGACTCTGTGTTGGCCTCAGCTAATGTGTGGGTCTTAGCTTTTAACAAAAAAAAAATTCAAAAGTAGTTTTTAACAAAAAAAAATTCAAAAGTAAAAATTATAATATTTTTAAAATAGAAAAAAAGCTATAGAATAAGGATATGAAGGAAGAATTGTTTCGTACAGCTGTGTATTTGTGTTTTAAGCTAAATGTTACTACAAGAGTCAAAAGTTTAAAAATGTAAACATTTATAAAGGTAAAGATACAGTAAGCTAATGTTAATTTATTATTGAAGAAAAAAACCGTTATTATTTATTTTAAAAAACTGTTTTTATAAATTTAGTGTAGCCTAAGTGTTCAGTGTTTATAAGTTCTAAGTAGTGTACAGTAATGTCCTAGGCCATTACATTCATTCACCACTCACTCACTGGCTCACCGTGCAGTTTCCATTCCTGCAAGCTCCACTCATGGTAAGTGCCCTATAGAGGTACATCATTATCTTTCCTATGATATTTTTATTCCTTTTTTATGTATAGATATGTTTAGATACACAGGTACCAGTGTATTACATGATCTACATTATTCCAGGACGGTAATTTGCTGTGCATGTTTGTAGCCTAGGAGCAATAGGCTATACTATATAGCCTAGGTGTTTAGTAGGCTCTACCACCTACGTTTGTGATAAGTTCACTCTATATGATGTTCAGTGATATGGTTACCGAACAACGAATGTCTTAAAATGTATCCTCATTGTTAAGCAGTGCATAACTGTATTTAAATATTGTGAACATGGGATGTATTTTTATAATCTGTTCATATAGCTCAGGGGTCTCCAACCCCCAGGCCACAGATGGTTCCAGTCCATGGTCTGCTGGGCAACAGGCCGCACAGCAGGAGGTGAGTGGTGGGTAAGTGAGTGAAGCTGAGCTCCACCTCCTGTCAGATCAGCAGCAGCATTAGATTATTATAGGAATGTGAACCCTATTATGAACTGTGCATGCAAGAGACCTAGATTGCACACTCCCTATGAGAATCTAATGCCTGATGATCTGTCACTATATATATACATGTATATACATTGTACATTACAATGTAATAACAATAGAAATAAAGTACACAATAAATGTAATGCACTTGAGTCATTCCAAAACTGTCTCTCCTCCCTGCCCCCACTCGTGGAAGAAACTGCCTTCTACAAAACCAGTCCCTAGTGCCAAAAAGGTTGGAGACCTTTATGAACTATTTATATAGTATTTAATATATATAAAGCTTAGTGATAGCCAGTGCAAAAGCACAAAGATAGAGAGGAGATAAGCATGTAAATAATAAGATCCCAAAGATAATAAGGTAAATGTCATAGGAGGGAACAAAAAAAAATCTATGGGTGTTAAGGGCAGAGGAATAATATCCAGTGGGAAAATGCATTCAGGGAGAACAAGTAATTTGTTGGAGATCTGGAGGCAGATAAGTAGGACGTTAGCAGGTGACATTTGGAAGAAATATGCAGTGGGGAGGAAGGAGCATAAATTAGAGCTTAGAGGCAGGATACATGGAGTCATGGACAAGACACTCCAATTTAATCATAGCATGACATCAACTCTATGATATGTTGGCAATCTCTCTTTTCCTCACACTTCTGGAATATTTGCTACAGCAGTTTGGTTTAGTTCAACAGTCATTCCTTGGATACCCACTAAGTGAAAAACACTGTTCCAAAGCAGGGAAATAAAAGACAAAAAGGTATACACATTCTTTGCCCTCAGATCACTTACAGTGGGGCAAATCCTTTGAACTATCATGGTTATTGGAAATATGCTTAGAATGTTTTGGATGGAGAGGCATCCCTAACCTAACCTGTGAAGTCAGTCAAGACTTTCCAAAAACAAATTGGTTAGAACTCAGTCTAAATGGACAAGTAGGAATTGGGTAAAACAGAAACAAAGGTATTCAAGGCACAGGGAAGAAAAGCATGAGCAAAAGGTATGAAACAGGATTTCAGCTTGGGAAACTATAAGAAGTTTCGAATTCCAGAAGCATTCATTCAAGTAATTTCTAAGGAGTGTCATTAATGCTCCAATATTTGCCTTTTGATGTGAAACTGAGATAGAAATTTAATTATATGGCTTTCATGGTAAGCCCACACCCTTTACTAACTTTGGAGTTACTAATGGTGTTTCATTTTTAGAATACCTACATGTTTGTGTTAAGTGTTTTATTGTTATTCTATCACATGATGATGTTGTAAACAAACATTGCATAGATTCAATGTTCTCTGAATTTCATTACCTTGACTCAATGAGCTTTATGATTATAATACTATTGGGCAGTATACCCGAGTTATCAGAATGCCCAACAATGAGACATTTGCAGCATTCCTACCTTCTTGTTTTGATAAAAAAAAAATTTGTCTTATAAGTGAATCTAAGTATTATTCACACAACCCCTTATTATCATACACTTCTCAGTCCCAAATATTTTCTTATGTTTTCACTACTGACACCTTAAATCTCTATAATATTATTTATCTGTCCCTTTTTAAAAACACTGATATCTAAATATATGAAGAGAAAAAGTGTTTTTCTTGGACTATACTTCTATCTTCTCTGCCCTGATCTAATAATCCTCTATCTTTGAAATACATTTTTGGAAAGCAAAATTTAAATCAAAACTGTCATTTCAAAATATAGGGCTATCTACAGTATGGGTATATATAGCTAAATATGCTGCTCAGTGGACCAGGAGTTCAGCCCATAATGGTCCTGTATATATAAATAGCATGTGTGACACCAGGGTTTCACTCACTGCTCAGTTTTGTGGCAAGTGTGGATCACTGTGGAATCTCAGTCTTCCTGGCTTCTGATCTGTGGGGCTCTGCACAGCAGTAATGGAAGCAAAAGATGTGAAATCAGATACCACTGAGAATGTATATTTTTAAGAGTGAAGCCTTTTATTCTCTTGCTAAGTTTTTTCGTTATGCTATTTATTTCCATTTTAAGGAAAGTTTTTTTAAATGATACATAAGTCATTTGAAAATGGTATCTACACTCACCAGACAGAAAATTAAAGGATATGTATAATTTAAATTTTAAATGCTTTCTTTGGTTATCAAGATATTTTGAGTTCTGAAATGTTTGAATAGTTGCTTCATACTCAACTCCTACATGTATACATAGTAAAAAAGAAAAAAATCATTTGAAATGGTCATATTTTCCTCTTATGTCAACACGGATATGTCATAATATTTTTTGTTTCATGGGACTCATTTCCAGTTGATGCAGGTTTTTAAAGTCAAGATTAATCACAATAATTAAGGAGTAAATGTGTAAATGAGGGCCCGATTCAAGTTATTTAATTAACATAGGTTCGAGGAAATTTGACAACTGGAGGATTAAATATGGATTTTCATCTAATCTGTTTCTATACTTTTCAGCTCTCCTAAACTATCACCAAATAAAGGGCAAAGGTAAAGAATTAGAAATGTGAAAAAAAAATTAGGAAGCTATTTCCTGTTCCTTTGTGGCTTGTCTAGTCTAATACTCCTGCATTGAGAGGTTCTTAGAAACAATTCTTGTGAATCTTTTCTATGTGGGGGAAGTGAGAAGACGGAGAAAAATGGCTCTCCTCCCCAAATATAGTCCTAGTGGAATTGATGTTAATCTGTTCAGGACAGACCAAGCCCTTTAATATGAATGGGAGCCCTGGGCCCCCAGGACCAGGTAATCCTTGCTTTTTATCCCCTCTTATCACAAGCTAATCACTTTATTCCTCCTGTTAAAAGCCAGATAAAAAGCCCAACAGCAGCAACTAAACCTACCTTCCACTCCATCTGAATGGAACAGGCTCCCACCAATGTTTCTCTCAGTATACAAATATTTCTTGTCTCTATTCCCACTACTAAACCCTTCACCCCTAAAGAGTCCCAGTCTGAATTTTCAGATTCAGGCCAAATCCCTTCCATTTACTTCCACAGTGATCTTCCTTGAACATTGCTTTACCATATTCTTACCCTGCTTTCTGCTCCCTCTAACTGGAAAGAATCAATACTTATTAGGGCCAAATAAACCAGCTAATCTAGAATTCCAAACTAACAATAATGTTAAGGTGATGTGTTGGGGGTGTTGTTCCAGCCTAAAGAAAGCATGTTGGGAGAGTCTCTTTTTTACGGGATGAGTTGGCTTATCTTCACTATACACACCTAAATCAGAGTAGAAGAACCCAGCATGGGATCATCAGGAGGAAGAAGTGGGGCAGTGAGAAAATAAGTACTAGCCTGGAAACCGAAGTGCCAGGAGTTCATTGTGGTGAAATTGTCCAGAATAACAAATATGGATTCGGAGCTTATCGGGGAACTCTGGGTCATGAGAATCCTCAGGGGTTCTTAGGGGTTTACGAGATGAGAAGTTATGAGATAGCCAAGGATGAGTTTGTAGAGTTAAGAGGAAAGGGTAGAGATGGAGGAGGAGCTAAGGGGAGAAGGGCAACCAGGAGAGAAGAGTGCAAGAAAGCAAGGGCAGAAAGTTTTTCAGGAAAGAAGGAGCATTCACTAGTTTAAATTCCAGAAAGACCATGTTAGATTAAGATTAAAGAAGGAAAATGGAAAGAGAGAAATACAGAAAGCAAGTAGACTACTTAGGCAAATTAGATTTTCAGTAATAAAAGAGAACAGACTTTTATTCCTCAATTTTTCTTTCTGTATTCACTTCATATTTATCTCCAAACAAAACCATATTTCTACATTGTGTGTCAATATTTGAACATATCAATTAAAAAATATACATTTGACTCTTCACAAATCCCACATTTGGCCTTAGGCCTTAAGCCATTGGCCTTTTCTTTGCCTTTATGTTTCTCGTATTGGTCTTTCCTCTGGACTATGTGCAATGTACCTGCCAGACATGAACAATGTTCTCAATGGCTTGGAAGTCAAAGTTGAAGGGCTAAGTAGATAAAAGATGAGTCTGTGTCCCATCATAAAGGCCTTTTGTGGGCTGTTCAAGGAATTTATATTTAACCTGAAGATAAATACATGGGGAATCACCGAAAGGTTTTAGATAGGGAAATAACATCATCAGATTGCTTTGTAGAGAGTTGATTCTAGCTAAAAAGAGGTAGTATTAGAGGGGTGGGATAGGAGACTGCAATACCAATTTGGAAGTCACTATTGCAACCATTCCAGCCAGAGATAATGGTAGTCTAACTTATATTACCAGCAGAAAGGACTCATTCAAGGGACATTTATTGTATAGTAGACAATATCAATAGGATTTGGAGGTTTATGAAACCAGAAAAAGGAAAATCATGATGCCCAAATTTCTCCTATGGCCA